TTCTGCATCAATTGATATGATTATGTGGTTCTTTTCCTTTGTTTTATTTATGTGGTGGATGATGTTGATTGTTTTCCTAACATTGAACCATCCTTACATACCTGATATGAACCCTACTTGGTCATAATGAATGATTTTCTTGATATGTTGTTGGAGTCTACTGACTTGAAGATTTTTGTGTCTATATTCATGAGGGATATTGGTCTGTAGTTTTCCTTTTGAGTGATGTTTTTGCCTGGTTTTGGTATCAAGATTATGCTTGCTTCACAAAATGAATTAGGGAAGATTCCATCCTTTTCTATGTTTTGGAATAATTTGAGTAGGATTGGTGTCAGTTCTTCTTTGAATGTTTGGTAGAATTCTCCAGTGAAACCGTCTGGGCCAGTACTTTTCTTTGTTGGTAATTTTTTTTTTTTTTTTTGACCTGTTCAATTTTTTCTTTTGTTATGGATCTTTTCAACTTTTCCACATCAGTCTGTGTTAGTTTAGATAAGTGGTGTGTTCCTAGAAATCTGTCTTTTTCTTCCAGATTTTCAAATTTTTGGAGTACAGTTCATAGTATCCTGCTATTATCCTTTTTATTTCGGTTGGTTCTGTTATGATGTTGCCCATTTCATTTCTTATTCATGTTATTTGTATTTCCTCTCTCTTTTCCTTTGTTAAATTTGCCAGTGGTTTGTCAATTGTATTAATCTTTTCAAAAAGCTAATTTCTAGTCTTCATGATTTTTTCTATTGTCTATTTTCTGTTTCATTCAATGGCTAATTTCTTGAAGTAAATCACCAGATCTTTCTTCTGAGGCACCTCTGTGTGGATTTGAATGTCCAACCTTACAGCAGCCAAGAACACTAACTGTTTGCACCACGTAGGGACTCTGAGACACCACTACACACTTAGTAAGATGGCAAAAATCAAGTGTTGGTTATGAGGTGGAGGAACTGGAACTCTTATACATTGCTGGTGGGGATGTAACATGGTACAACTGTTTCCTTTGGAAAACAGTTTGGCAGTTTTTGAAAAAGTTAAAATTACATCTACCTTATGATCCAGCCACTCCACTTCTAGGCTTTTAGCCAAGAGAAAAGAAAGCATCTGTCCATATAAAAACTTCTTCCACAAATGTTCATAGTAACTTTATTTGTAATAAAAACTTGAAATAATCCAAATTCCCATCTACAGGGGAATAGATAAAATATCAAACATCTATACAATGGATTACCACTCAATAATATAAAGGAGTAAACATACAATTACATGAATGAATCTCAAAAGTTATGTTGAATGAAAATAGACAAAATATAGTACATACTATATGATTCCACTTATATAAAACTCTAGAAAATTATAGCAACAGAAAGCACATCATGATGAGGGATGGGAAGGTGGAGTTACAAAGAGTCATGAGGAAACTTTTGAGGGTGATCGATATGTTCATTATCTTTACTGTGGTGTTGGTTTCATAGGTATAGACATGCCAGAACTTTAAATATCTATCTATCCATCTATGTACTTGCTGTTAGGTGCCATCAAGTCAATCTTCAACTCATAGTGACAAAATATGACAGAGTGAACCTGCCTTTAGGGTTTTTTAGGCTGTAATCTTTATGGGAGCAGATCACCAGGTCTTTCTCCTGTGGAGCCACTGGGTGGGTTTGAATCACCAGTCTTTCAGTTAGCAGCCAAGTTCTTATCCCTTGTGCCACCAGGATGTGTTCTCTATCTTTATATAAATATGATAGATAGAAAGATAGGGATAGATAGATAGGTATAGTGTGTGTGTGTGTGTGTGTGTGTGTTTAGCAAGTTTATTTGACCACCAACCTTTTTTTCTCCTCACCTATCATCTCAGTCTGCAGAACTGTGGCATATGTAATGAGATGGACCTAGAACAAATCCTGGCTCCACTCTCATACTGGCTGTGCCCTTCAGCAAGTGATTTATACCTTCTCAACCTTGGTTTTCTCATCTGTAAAATGGGGCTGTGGTCAAGATTAAATTAGATACTGTATGCTAAAGTCTGCCACTTAATAGTTTCCTGAACACTATAGTCCATTAACCACCCCACAAATCAAACCAGCTCCATTTATGGTGTTCCCAAGTGCATCAATTTTATTTTTAGCTAAAGAAACCAGCATTCAGCCATCTTGAGTCCAAAGGTCTGAGGGGAAAGACATTGAAATGCTTAGCATGGCCCTACAGGGCCATCTGCTCTGTATTAGCTGGTCTTCCACTGTTTATTATTCCTTGAATTAAATATCCTCCAACTCTTGTGTGAAAAGTCAGGACACACAATAACCTCTTTATCACCTTTTCAAACTCTGGGCCTGTTCTGGAAAGTTCACACCTTTTTCTTGTTGTCATTGTCTTCATGTGGATTTGGATTTCTGGAAACAGCATTTGGAATGCTTTGCTGGAAAGGCTTGTGTGTAAGCTGGCTGCAGACAAATATCAAAATAGAAAGAAAATAAGCTGTCAGAGGAATCAAAACCACGCTGCATGTGTCTGCGTCACCCACCAGCTGGGACGGTGCAAGGAGGACCTGGGGCTGGGGCTGGTTGTCAGGGGACCTGGGCCAGGCAGCTCCCCTGAGCCTTTCTCCCATGAAATGAGCCTTTCTCCTAGAAAATGAATTATAACAAAAAGAGTAATATAAACATAGCCTAAAAAGTATACATAACTCTGTAAAAACAAAGATATCAGGATAATAATATTGGCTACCATTCATTGAGTACTATTTTTGTGCCCTACTTTGCTAAGCGCTATCGTGTTATTTTATCTCAACCTCACAACAAGCCTACAAGTTAGGCATATAGTCATTGAGGAATCTTTCAGCAACATGTGACAGAAAAACCACCTCAAACTGGATCATAATATGAAGGAAAAGCACAGAAGGTCACAGGAGCAAGCTGTTAGCCATAGTAGTCACCACACCCACAATCAACAAGCCACCAGTTGTCATGGATTCTGACCCATGAAGAGTCCGTGCGTGTCAGAGTACAACTGTGCTCCACAGGTTTTCACGGCTGATTTTTTAAGAAGCAGAACCAGGCCTTTCTTCCAAGGCACCTGTGGGTGGGTTTGGATCACCAACCTTTCAGTTAACAGTCAAGTACATAGCCATTTGTGCCACTCATGGACTCCCCGCATTTAACCAAAAAAAAAAAAAAAAAAAAAACTCACTGCCATCGAGTCAATTCCAACTCATAGCAAGCCCTCCTTGGGTTTCCAAGGTGGTATCTCAATGGAAGTATATTGCCCAACCTTCCTTCCAAGGAGTGGCTGGTGGGTTTGAACTGCCAGCCTTCTGGTTAGCAGTCAAGTGCCTTAGGCACTACACCACCAGACCTCGGCAGCTCCAAATTCACCATCAGGTAAAGGGATCTGGGTGATAGTATCCATGGTGTCTAAGCAGGTGTGAGCTGGGATACAAAGCCTCCAGCAGAGTGGTTAAGTAACATCCCTTCCTCAAGATCCGCAGGGGAAAACTGATGATGGCAAGCAAGAAAGTGTTATTATGTAATTCATAAGATGCATTGAGAGGCAGTGAGTAAAGGTTGGAACAGTGACTTGGCCAAGGTCACATTTCAGTATGTGACCCCCACCTCTGGCCAAATGAGCACAGCAGGGCTCTGGCTCTGCCCATAAATGGCCACAGACCTGTGAGCAGCTTCTACCCCACCATGAGGGAGACAGGCTGCCACTGAGGGACAATAAACGCGGAACCGCCTCCATTAATCAGTGCGTGGGATTAGATATGAATGGCTGAAGCTTTGCCAACAAGCTCCAGCTCTGACAGCTGACTGGGAAAATCAGGAGGCTCTTAAGCAAAAACATGCCTCTGAGAGCCCAGGCGAAACCTATCTGGAGGAGGACCACATAGCTCACATACACAGCCGTCTGCCCAGGGTCAGAGGACACAAGACCCCACAGAACACACCACTGCCAGACCCAAGAGCAGCAGACTGAGAACCCATGAAAACCAGAGAATGTGACGGTTCCTGGATAAGAAACCTCTCTCCTCATCCTCGCTCAGTGTGTGATATGTATACTGACCCTGTGCAGAACTGCATTTGTAAAAATGACCCCAGTTTTTCCCCTTGCACAAGATGACTTTGAGACTTCTGCAATTCAGAAGTGGAGTCTCCCTGTCACTTGATTTGGGGTTAGCGTCGTGACACTATGACCAACAGAATGCTGCGGAACTGATGGAGTATGGGGTCTGAGCCTAGGCCTCAAGAAGCCTGGCACACTCTTACTTGCTCTCTCAGGCCCCTACTGGGCTGCCATGTAACAGACCCACACTTATATAATCAATATAAATAAATAATAATAATAATAAACATCTGCTGCTGTTGGATCAATTCCAACTCATGGTAACCCCGTGTATCACAGAGTAGAATTATTCCATAGGAGTTTCTTGGCTGTACTCTTTACTGAGGTTCAGTGAATTACTTGATACGGCCCTTTTAGTCACGGTCTTTGTGACTTCCACCCAGACGACTGTGTGAGACTATGCAAACTGAGGGGTGCTTGTGGTTCACCAAGGAGATTAGACAGCTTGTTAGTAATGTAAATAAGGTGCATGGACCATGCAAATAAGGTGTATGGAACCCTAATGCGGAAATTGGTCAGTTTTGCCAACTCAGCAGGCTTAAAATAGGCCATCCCAGAGGCAGAAAGGGGGGGGGAATCTCACTATCGTGAAGGAAAAAGAGCCATGTCCTTTGAACCTGAGATCCCTGTGCTGAGCCCTCTTGATCCAGGAGACAGAGAGCTGTGATAGCAGCGATAGTGAAAAGCCGCAG